TGTGACGGGGTTACCTATTACTTTACAAGGAAATGATTCGATTTGGGTGATTATTGATAGGCTTATGAAGTCGGCTCATTTTATTCCTATTAACATCAGTTTTCCAGTGTCGAAGTTGGCTGAGATTTACACTAGTGTAATCGTGAAGTTACATGGTGTTCCTTTGTGCATTGTGTCAGATAGAGATCCAAGATTCACTTCTGATTTTTGGAAGAGTTTGCAAGAAGCGTTCGGTTCTAAGTTGAGGTTGAGTTCAGCATATCATCCTCAGACAGTTGGTCAAACTGAACGGACGATTCAATCGTTGGAAGATTTGCTGAGGGCATGTGTTATTGAGAAGGGAGGTTCGTGGGGTACTTACCTTCCGTTGATAGAGTTCACTTATAATAAAAATTACCATTCTAGTATTGAGATGGCACCTTTCGAAGCGTTGTATGGTCGAAGATGTATAACTCCTTTATGTTAGCATGAATATGGTGAAAGTGTAGTACTTGGGCCTGAACTTGTCCGTGAAACTACTGAGAAGGTGAAGTTGATTCGAGAAAAGATGAAAGCTTCCCAAAGTAGACAGAAGAGTTATCATGACAAGCGAAGGAAAGATTTAGAATTTCAAGCGGGTGACCATGTGTTTTTAAGAGTCACACATGTGACTGGTGTTGGGCGAGCATTGAAGTCTAAGAAGCTCACTTCTCGTTTTATTGGTCCATATCAGATTTCAGAGAGAGTTGGGAATGTGACTTATAGAGTGGCTTTATCGCCTAACCTTTCGAATTTACATGATGTATTTCATGTGTCACAACTCTGGAAGTATATTTCAGATTCATCTCATGTGATTCATATGGATGATGTGCAAGTACGGGATAATCTTACGGTGGAGACGATGCCCGTACGAATCGCGGATCATGAAATAAAGATCCTGAGGGGTAAAGAGATTGCTTTGGTTAAAGTGGTTTGGCTAGGAGATGCCGGAGAAAGCGTGACTTGGGAGTTGGAAAGCAAGATGCAGGACTTCTATCCTGAGTTGTTTGATTAAGGTAAATTTTCGAGGACGAAAATATTCTAAGTGGGGGAGAGTTGTAACACCCGTAACTCAATTAATTATTTAATTTAATTATTATTTTTGGATTATTGGTGAAGTGGGGTTATGATGATAGTTGATGTGTTGTTGTTATTGGATTTATTTATTCTATTAAGTTGTGGAATAATATTAGAATAATAATATTATTTAATGTGGACTTATTTTAAGGACTAGAAGTAGTAGAAAGGGGGTGTAGGAGTTTTAAGACCATTAAGACATAATGAGAATTATAGGGTTATTATATTAATTTTTAGAAACAATAAGGAAAAGAAGAAGCAGTAAGAAGAGAAAGAAATAAGGGTTGGAAGAGAACGTGAAAGTTGCAGAAAAGAAGGAAAAGAGGCATAACGGAATTCAATCGAAAAAGTCGTAGAGCAACCTTCAATCTAAGGTAAGGGTGGAGTTCTGACTCTATAATAGGGTTTATGATGAATAGTATGTGGGATTAGAGATGAGTAATGATGCCCTAATGCTGTATAATTGATGTAGAAACATAGGATTATTATAAGAGATGATTACCTATGATTATAGGATATTTTTAGGGCCTAAGGCAGGGAAATCGCAGTTAAAACGCAGTGAAATCGCATAAAATATTTATGACAGAACAGTATGAGTCGACCTCAAAGGCCATGCGTCGACACATGCAGGCTTTTGAACTCAGGATGAGTCGATACATAGGACTATACATCGATACATGCAGTGTTGCAGACTCAATATGAGTCGATACAAGGAGATTGTGCGTCGACTCATGCAGGATTTTAACCCAGTACGCGTTGATTCAAAACATTATGCGTCAACTCATGTAGTCTAATTTTTGGCAGATTTATTCCAAAGGCTGTAACTTGAGTTTCCGGACTCCGTTTGAGGTGTCGTTTGAAGAGTTGGATAGCTAATGCGCTTAACTTCATTCTTGAGGATTAAAATGAAGGATAATAAGAATAATCCTATTACCCAAATTAGGATTAGAGTTAGCTTCTCACGTTAATCGCTATGATGATTTTGTGAAGTATGATGAGGATAAGATGATTATAGATTATTGTTTGGTTCATAATAATAAGATTAATAATGATAATGATGTAGTATTGCAGAATAATAATATGTAGAAGTTTGGTAATTAGAGATAAGCCTTAAATGATTAACTAAATATATGCATTATCATGTTGTAGGCCTATGGCCAACGTTGAGAGATTGTTGACCTGTCGTTGTATTATTGTTATGACTGAGTTGATGATGATATTATGTTGATGAAAATATGTTGATGAAATTGTGTTGATGAAAATATGTTGATGAATTATGCGATGAATGATGTTGATGAATGATGTTGAGATGTCTCTAATAATTGGAAGCTATTAAGATGTAGGCTTCTGGCCAACGATGATGTTGTGTTGAGATGTTGTTAATTGTGGTTGTTGTTACTACATTCATAATTGTGTCGCATACGTTGCATATCAAGATGGAGCTGATGCTCGTTAAGATGGCTTGTATTGGAGAATATTAAGATGAAGGCTTATGCCTTGTCGATGCCTCTATTTATTAGCAATTATTTAAGATGGGAGTTCTGCTCCAATGGTATCACATGCATTTGTATAGTATTGAGTCGCATGATATGATTGCATGAAAAAGTTGTGTATTGATGCGGTAAATGTGTATATTATTGGTATTTTGTTGCGATTATTGTTGTTCATGAGATGTGAAGTGGTGTATTATATGAGCTGATCTAACATATTATTTATCATACGTTTTAATATATTGTTAGATATCTCACTCCTTCTGTTTGAATGTTACCCTTACGTTGGTAACGTGTAGGTAATCCAGAGTGAAGGTAGTATACCTTCGGTAGTTCGAGTCAGTGTAATTGTTCTGATACGTAACACTCAGGGGGATGAACACTTGTTGCTTTTAATTATTGATTATTTCAGTTGTTAAACTTTAATTTGATTATTACTAAGTATGCATTATTTTGAAGTTGTTGTAATTGTTGGACAAAGATGTTATTATGATTCCGCTGCGTAGTTGTTCAAGTTGTTGAATGAATAAATTAAGTTATTCTGCTGTTGGTTCATCCGAAGTTTAAAGTGTTATGTATCCATGTTGAATGCAATGTGTCTTTAAGTTAAATTTGTGGCATCCTGATTCAATTGTATGAATTTTAAAACTCTGATTTACATTCATATTTTCCGGGTAGAATTGGGGTGTTACATCCAACGCCCATGTAACATTGTCTTCTTTCTCAGATTCCAAAAATGCAAATCCAACAAAAAATGTCTTATGCATAGAAGTGACACCAAAAATTTCTAGAAGCGGAGGCCTATACTTGTTTATCTTATACGCTGAATCAATTAGAAGGCGGTTGAAAATATGTTGAACAACATAATACTTTTGGATGAGTCCAAAAAATATCGCAGGCATTGCCTTTATCCTCACACACTATGTACCTTGAAACATAATTGTTATCTTTCAAAAGTTTCAAAAGTTGTTGTATTTCATATCTCAGACCTTTATTCGCCATGTTTCGTTGATAACATTCATTGTATACTTGCCTGGTATGTGAAACACTTCGTGATCATTTTTATTTCAAATCTGCAAGTATGTTTCTCGATGCAACTTTGATTATCGACATTTCCGAAATGATTTTCTTCTCCTCTAGCTTAAGCCGATATACAATTGGATGACTTTGTAGCTTGGTGTCAAACCCGTGATTATGTATACCTTAAATGACATTAAACTGACACATATCATCCACCCTACAATATCTACACAATTTAAACGGACACTCACATTTTCTCGATCTGGTGTCTTCATGTTTTAACTTCTGAATTTTTGAAACATATTTTCCACTTCTCTCGCATGTCATCGTTACAAACGCTTGCCTTCTACTAGTGTCATTGTCGAACCTTCCAATCACAACTTCAAACCCGAGTTTTCTAGCTTCCATTATGATCCATTCAAGCATATGTTGACGAGCACTAAAAATTTGATCATTTGGTAATTATTGTCGAACATCTATCTCGACATTAATCTTTTTAACGCCATCCTTCACCTCATCCGACATAACATCACCATTCACCTTGCCTGTCCGTAACCTTTACAACAACTTTGGGAAACATGTCAGGGTGCACCATATCTAAAACGAGCAAAAACAGAAAATATATTAAAACTGTTTTTGTATCAGAGACAATTTCAAATATGCATATCCAAAATATAGTAGGTGGATTTCTGAAATGCATATGCGAAGTGACGCTATTTTTTTCATCTCAAAATCAGCATCAATGCAAGGAAATGAGAGATGAAATGAGAAAAATTTACCTTAAATTCCAACTTTCTATGCTCTTTTTGATATGATAAAACACTTGAAATTTAGTTTGAAGACGACAAATTGATTGAGAATGATTTAAGTTTCGTGGTAGATTTTGGTTATATGGGGAAATAAAGAGAATGAAATAATAGTAGGATGATCATGCAACAAATTGATATAACAACAATACTTTTAGATATGCATATCCGAAAATACCACTTAATATTTAATACAGCGTTCAAATGATAATAACGTATAAACATAAGTGTTTTCGGATATGGATTTTCAAAATACCTTAAAAATTGATTTAGAGTGTTCTAACTAACTTAGCTATGAGAGCTTGATGTTTCCACCGCCACACTCAAATTACAGGAATATTACAATAATCGCCGCGTGCAAAAATGGACGACCGGAAAAGTTAGTTAACAGCGAAGGGTATTTCGGGTAATACGAAAATACCCTCCACATGGCCATTTCTTTCTCCGTGCAAATCACATCACACTCTTCACAAAAAAAAAAAAAACACAACAAGACACAAACACTGTTATCTATCTACAACACTCTCTACCCCCTTTCTCTATTTAGGGTTCATCTTCGATTTCAATTTCAATCTCAATTTCCCCTGAAATGGACTCTGACTCATGGATCTCTTCACGCATCTCCAACTCTTCACGCCGCTACTATTCCCGATCCGGTTCGCACAATTTTTTTTCTTCCAATTTTCATTTTCATTATTATTGGGATTTCCTTCTTGATGTTCCGGTTTGGTGTTTTCAGATCTGTTTGTCGGTGGAAACGACGACGCGGAACCCGGCGGCGATGATTTAAGAGCGGAGTATCTTTGCCCTTTCTGCGCTGAAGATTACGACGTCGTTTCTCTCTGTTGCCACATTGACGAGGAACATCCTCTTCAAGCCAACACCGGGGTGGGTATCTACAAAAAAAAAAGCTTTTTCATATTTAGTGCATTTAACGGGTCTATGAATGTTCCTAACGTACTCTTTTTTATTTATTTAGATGTGTTTAATTTTGGTGGAAAAATTATAATAAATGCGTATGTATTAATTTAAAGAGTCGTATATACTATTTTGTTACAACGTTGTTTTGAGTTTTTGTTGAGTGTTGAATGTTTTTTTTTGTTTTGTTATTGGAGTTGATAAGTTGGTTGGTTAGTTAGTTACATGACAGTTTAGTTAGTTAGTTACATGACAGTTTAGTTAGTTAGTTAGTTAATTGGGTTTTATTTCGCTAAAGAAGATTTAGTCTTTATAAATACAGGGGTTCTTCTTCTCCGAGTTCTAGTTTTGTGCTGAAAAGATAACACTATTTTTCTTCTTTTGTGTTCTGCGGATTCGTGTTTGGTGCTCAGAATGACTTTTTGTTTGGTGCTCAGAATGACTTGTTTGGTGCTCAGAATGACAATTTTGCAGTGGCTGCGTCTTAGATTTCTTGAGGCATGTTTTTGTTAGTCTTGATGATGATAGGTGTTTCTTTGTTTTTGGTTTTGTATGGGGATGATGATGGTGATTATTGGTGGTGTTGGTTATACTTTTTTCAGGTTTGTCCGGCTTGTGGGGAAAAGGTGGGAATGGATCTTGTTGAACATATTACAACGCAGCATTCAAAGTTTTTCAAGATATCCTTTTTGAAAGTTTGTTTGTTCTTGTTTTGATTCTTTATCGATTTGATTATTGTGCCATTGATATGTGTTGTGGAGGAAATTTGAATTTTCAGCGTCCATATTTTATTGCATTCCCAAAAAACAAATTTAATCTGAAGTTACTTAGCTATTTCAGCGTTGTTAGATTGTATTTTCTTGTGCTGTCTTCTGTTCTATCAATTGAAGTTGCTGTGTTGGGTGAGTGTATATCTTTAATTGGATTCCTTAACCTGAAGTTTACGTGCCGCGGAAAAGGAGGGTAGTGAGGAAAGGAGTTTCTAACTCAACATTATTTAGAAAAGAGTTGAGGGAAGGAGCATTGCATTCTCTTCTTGGAGGTTCTTCAACCAATTCCGAATCTGATACTCTATTGTCATCATTTATTTTTAACCCAGTTTTAGGCAATGAAGCTGTGAGTGAACAATCTAGTTCTTCCATTGAAGCTTCCCCAGTAAAAGATAGCTCAAAAAATGATTTCGTGGAAAGGTAAGAATGCGGATATATTGTTGGATCAAACTTCATATTATCTTGTTATAACTTCGTATTATGTTTTAAATCCTGCCAAATACATGATAGAACGAATTTACACCATCAGTATATAGATACTAAACTCTTCTATATAAAAGTATAGTATTGGTCGTATGTATATACGTGGTTCAATTTTTTGTATCAAATAAGTAAATGATGAAACATTGTCATTTAGAGTAATGCCTTGTTAGCATCAAAGTTGTTTCTTTTAATGTCATCTGGAATGTTAGTCCAAAACATCTAGTCTGACTAGCGTATGATTACAGAAAACCGCAACAAGTACAGATGTCAGATGAGGACCGAATAGAGAAGACTCGAAGGTTAAATTTTGTGCAAGGGCTTCTGATGTCCACCATTCTTGATGATAAATTATGACTACAATTGTTGCTGGTATATTGTAGTATGAGCAGGCGCTGATCGCGAGGGAGAAGTTAGCTCGCTCGAGTGTTACAAAGTGGCAGTAGCTAGATGCTAGATCGGATAAATATGTATTGAATGTATCTGTAGTTATGTTAATATAATGCAAAGACGAAGATACCTTTTTCGAGTAAATATGTAATGAATGTATCTTTTGTTAGGTCCATCAAATAACATGGACCCTTTATTTAAGGTGCTTCACTAGACTTACATAATTGACTAAAATAAAGAAGTTGACAAAATAAGAAATTTCTTAAGACTTATTCTGGTCCCTAAAAACAATGTTTGAAGTCCTTTCATATGTTTTTATTCACTATTATGAGTTTTTAGACATTCTAATATGGATCATTAGTAGAATGTGGTGAAAATTTATGTTTCTAATTTTTGGCATAGGTTGATTTGAATCAATCTTTTAGACATGATTTGAATCATGTTATCCGAGTTTATTTAAAACAGGAAGTGAGAAAAATACTATACAGTGAGATCAAATTGTGATCAATTTAAAATTGAGAAAATACATTGTAAATAGAAATCATTAGAGAGATATGACTCCATCAATCTATATTGATCTCTAAAGTAAAGTTATTGTGGGTTGAAAGAAAAAATAGACATTAGAAGTTGTTCATCTTAAACAATTGCAATATACTTTTGAGATATTTTTTTTAGATTTTTGTTAAGATTCATTAGTAGAGTGTTGTTCTCTCCGGCCAATGTATAGATTATAATTGTTTAGCTCAAACTGTGTAAAAAAAATACCGAAGTTATTCTTTTACTCTATCTTTCCTTTGATTTTGAAATATCAATTTTACATTGATTTTAAATTTGTTATTGGTTTAGTTTGATTTTCATCATATGGTATAGTTTTCTTGTGAATCTACTCAACATAAATTCTTACAAGTTACGAGAATCCTAAGCCTACAAGTCAATACTTCATATTCAAATTATCCTTCAATATATGATCTCTATATTATATACATTTAAAATACTGGATTACTATATCAAGTTTGAAGATGAATCTTATTTGTTGGAAAAATGGATATGTAACATTTTATAAATGGATGTGTAACATTTTATAAATGACTCATAAAACATACAAGACATGTATATATAATTTTATGTTTTTAATGTGTATTATTGAAGTTTTTAATGCATAATCTTATATGTCTCACAATAAGTCATCTTTTTTATTTTTATTTATCTTAAATTATTGTCCTTTTAAATACTAATGTATTATTTATTATTTCTTTCTATTAACTTATTCTTATTTATTGTATTTTAAATCATATATAATAATTTCACTACATATTATTAATAAGGTTATTTAAAAATGACATTCATTTTATCATTGAAATCAACACAATTAACCATTATCTTTAAAATTGTGAAAATCTCAAAGACGGCACTAGACGGATGAAGTATTAGTAAGTACAATAAGCAACTCTTATCCAATTAAGTGAAAAAAATTAATTATTATACATTGTCAATATAAAAAGTTTTACAATGTCAATTCATCACTATCATCTGTTTGTATTACTTTAAAATTTAATTCAAATGGACCGACAATGTAAAAAATTTACACGTTAGTTAATCGCAACCGTTGATTTATTTTAACTTTTTAACTTTTACTTTAATTTCTATTATAGTAATACATTTGAATGATTATGATGCACTAATGGTGTAAAATTTTAGCTTAATGCATCCTTTAGTCTAACTTAATTTCAGATTTCACTTAAATTCCTTAATTAATAAACGTTCCTTTTAAATCTCTGAAATGTGATTTGTTAGTCACATTGGTCCTTTCTATTAATTTTGACAACTTCCGTTAATTTGTGCATGTGAGACACTCCAACTAAATATTTATTAGTTGACATGGAATTATTATATTACATATTGATTTAAAATTATAAAATTAAAAACAATTCCAGAGAAAACATATCTGTGATTTGTTTTCTCTTCCACAGACCCTAGCCTCCATCTCTCACTTTTCTCTCTCAAAGCAGAGGAATCGAAAGCATCATTATTGTAAACATACGCATCATTATTCTTCTGCAAAGCATCAGAATCGCCGATGTAATTCGAGGAGGAGGGTTTTAGGGTCGGCGACGGTGATGACGAGTGGGGTGGAAAGGTGTTTTCCGGTGAGTAAGGGTTTTGAATTGATGAGTTTGGATCGTTGTTGTCTGAGGATTGGTTGAGTAGATCTATTACAAGTTCTTCGTTCATGTTGGGTTTTATAGATTTACATTTTGTACAGGTTATTCGTTTACGGATTTTGTTTGTCTCCTTTCCTTATGAACACTATTGGATTTTCTATTGTAAAGTTTCCTAAAATATCTCCTTGATTCACGGTACAAGCAAAGGCAGAGGCAGAAAAATGTTTGGGGACAATCCCGTTTATAAGAAACTGACAATTTCTTTTCCAAAAATTCCTTTTCTTCAAAATGTTTTCTTGGACAATCCCGTTTGCAAGAAAATGAGAATTTGGTTCAGGAACTTGCATTGACTGTGAGAAATTCAAACACTTTTATCAATTTGGTTCTCAGGTTGGATCTGGATGGTTTGTGAATCTGGATAGACCTAAACTATATCATCTTTTTGAAAAACTTTTACTTCCTTGGTGTCATTCTAAGATCTATGAAGCAGTTTTTTGATATATTAAAAGCTCAACAATATTTTTGATATATTTGAAGTTGGAGTGTTGAGTACATAATGGAATTTACATTCTGTTTTGTTTTGATATATTAGCAATTTTTCTATTTTATTTTTATTTTGGTAAATATTGTTAATGGTGAATATAGAAGTAATAGTAATAGCTTAGCATTTCCTGGATTGTAATTTTTAAATTCAACTATTTTATAGTAATAGTTATGGTTGGATTTTGATCGTACCTGATCAAAGTTGGACCGTCACAGTTGGCTTTGAATTGGATTTGAAGAAGATGGAGGAGGTACCTACAAGACACTCCGATGACAAAGTGAGAGACGGAATGAGCAAGCAAGCAAGTGTATAGTTACCAATGAATGAATACCCGATCCTCTCGAAATAGAGGGTATTTATATCCCCCAGCATTGGGCCAAGGTCCATTTATTGGATTGATCAAACAAGCCCAACAAAGGGACTGCCAGGTTCTACGTGAGTAGTGAGGCCCAACACGTGGTCCCCTACCTGGATGATGCTCTCCACAGAATAGGGAGGATAAAGACGCGATCTTCCCGGGAACCTGAGGACTCCGCGAAACCCGGAGAGGTTGAAAGTCTGCCCTACGAGGAGGGTACTCGAGCAGGGCTTGGATTGGGATGTTCCTCGTCTAGAACGTTCCTCGTCGGGGACGTTCCTCGCAGGCACCGGGGTGGCGTAGTCACATTCGACCAGTCACCCATGATCGGGGTATGCTCGGAGGATCTAATGCTCATCGTGATATGTTGTGAAGCTTGGATTGAGCCTCACCGGTGATTGGGCCATGGGTAGGCCCAGTCCAGAACAGAAGCCCCCCAAGTCGTTGCTCCTGGTACGGGAGTTATGACTTGATTCAAGTTCGCCCTTTTGCGAGACTCGCTTGCGCGACACGGGGGTTTTCAACCAGGGAGATGAGACATCGCCCGGTTTGTGATTTGCCCCGTGCAGCAAACAAGAAGTGTTCAAGGAGCGCTTGTAGGGAGGTGGTGACGCTTCAGTTAGACACGCAGTGCGGCTCTCAGAAACCACAATGCCGCCCTAGGGAATAGGGTCATCATTGTCTACGCGAGTAGGCGTCGAGGACGGGGGAGATTCGTGGTTCCCCAGCGCGACGTTTCATATTCCATGTCATCTCTATAAATAGGGCTTCAGGGTCCATAGTTTGTTTTCACATCTTCACGTTTCTCTCTGTTTTCAATCATCGTGAGTTTTCCTAGTTTTGCTGAAACCGCCGCGCCGTTTGCTGTGTGATCATCTCCACCACCGTCGTTCTTCACTCTTCTCTCAAGTAAGTGTTTTCTCCCTTTGATATCTCATGTTGTAGATAGATTTTGACGATGTTTTAGTGGTAGAATCCCGTGTCTGGGGATTGTGCCCGAGTTTTAAGCACCCTGGGCGCCTGATTTATGGTTGTGCCCGAGATATTCATAAGTTTAGGCATACGGTTTACGATCGTGCCTGTGATACTCATGCGTTTGGCTAGTAGATTTATGAACCTGGTCGGGAGATTCACCCTTTCGTGAGTATGTGGGCTAGTTTTCCCCGTAGTATTCTTGTACCGGGCCAAAAACATTATGAACTTGGTCGCGGGATTCATCCTTCGCTTATGATATTCATGCTATGCTCGCGTCGTTCATTATTGATGCATGTCCGCCGCTGAGGTCGATGTTTTGGTCGAGGTCCACTTGTTCCCCGTTTTTCATGCGAATGGCCGTTGGCTCGGTCTGAGAGTTGCTTACTTCTCCTCGTCTTTGTGGCGGAAAAATGGATTTGCTGTCAAAATTCACCGGTTTCTTGTGCTTTGCAGGTAAATGGCCGATATTCTTGAGTCCTCGAGGCGTAACGATGTCGAGGAAACAAGCACGACTGAGGAAACTATCAACCTGGTCGACACCGTCGAAGACCCCACTCTGGATTGCGTTGGTGTTGAACCCCGTGGAATAGCTTCGATCTATAGCCTTTCCAGTAAACAAGCTTACACTATCGTCGAGTATGGCAGCGGTCAAGAGGGATTTCGAAGGAACTTCAAGATTATGAGGCCGACGAGGGATGCCCGTATCTGTTCGGAGTTCACACAGGATGCATTTCCTATGTACGAGATCGTATTTAGAGATCTCGGGCTCCAATTGCCCTTCAATGACTTCCAGGTCGGAGTGTTCAACCATCTGAACCTTCCCCCCCTCCCAAATTCATCCTAATGCGATTGCCTTTCTTCGGGCATTCGAACTCACCTGTCGCTTCCTGAGGATTGGGGCGACGATCCCCCTGTTATTCATAGTTTTTCACTTACAACGGCAGTCCCGAGGAGGGAAGCACAGATGGGTGTCCCTTAAGTAGTCAAAGAGACTTTTTAGGATGTATATGGATTCTGTGCGAGATTTTAAGGACAAGTGGTATATTTTGCAACCGTCTACCCAGACAGCCATAAATTCGCTGTTCGAACCGGCCGCTGTGGTGGACGAGGATGGGGAGCCGTGTTTGGATGCTGATGGTAACCCCGAGATTGGGAGAGTCTCTAGGTTTCCCATTCACTGGTGTTCGGGCCATTACGACCATGGTCCTGGATACTACCACACTCCTGCTGGGGGTATGAGTGCTGAGGACGAGGAAGCTTATGGCGTCCTAAACAAGTTTGTCGACGGCTTCTTTCCTGCTCGGTGGGTTACGAGGGAAGGAGATAATGTTCTTGATGAGGATGGCTATCCGACGTTCGAGGCGCGCCCGATCAATACTAAGGCGCTCGTCGAGTGCCAATCTTACGGGAAAGCCGTAGACCTCTTAGGTTTCTTGCTTTGCTCTATGGATGTTCCTCTTTATTTGTTTTCTTTAATGTATGTAGCTAACCCAAGACAAGAAAATCAGCAAGAGATTGGTGAGGCCGCAACAAGCCACGCGGATGGGCCCGCCTCCTGACTTGGGCAGGGAAACATCTAGTGGGTCCTCGGGTTCCCCGGACTCCGAGCGCCAATCTGCTCTGATCAGCAAGAAGCGGAGTCGACCAGATGATGGGGTCGAAGTGACCAACAGAGGTGCGGGTGCCCGGGCCTACGGCCTGCCCCTTGCTTCGTGGAAAAGGATTTCTTCGAGGGGTTTCCCTTGTCCACATCTGACAACGAGGCCGACATCATCAAGCGGCTTGACAAGGAAGGTCGGAGGAAGCAACTTGCTTCCAGCATGGTCGGGGTGGTAAAAATGGCCGAGATGGCGATTGTCCTCACGGGGGAAAGACCGGACTCCATGGATCGGGTCAGAGAGTTGGAGTCGGAGAAGGCAACTCTTGTGGCCAATCCCGCAAACTGAAGGCTGCCCTGAACGCTCTGAGGAAATGTTTCACGAGCAGTCTGACGTGTTATCGGGGGAGAAGGAAAGGGCCGACAGGGCTCTCGAGGAAAGAGATTCCCCCCAGCTTGATAAGGAACAGTTGGAGAGTGACAACCAACGACTGTCGAGAGAGGTCGAGGACCTGAAGGCTGTTATGCTGCCCACTGAGGACGATCCAGAAAGGATGGCTGACTTGCGTACGCACTCTGATTTTATTGCTCGCGTTCAACTTCTAGAGTCGGACTGCATTGGCGCTTTGGCTGATGGGTTTGAGGCTGCGGTGAGTCATATGTCCGTGCTAAATCCGGGTTTGAACACCGAAGGGGCTGGAGTTCTGTCCCAGATCGTCGATGGCCGGGTTGTGCCTCCCCCCCGATTCTCTTGACGTCGACGTCAACACTCTAGGGACTGATTGATGCTTTGTTGGTGTTTGGGTCTGCGCGCCCGTTTATTATTTTTTTGGGGCCTGCATGCCCGTATTTGTTTTTTTTTGGGCCTGCATGCCCATATTTGTTTTTGGGGCCTGCGTGCCCATTATTATTCTTAGTTTTTTGGCCGTCGTGCTTGGACTGTAATTTCGGATATCACCGACCCTCGTGGTTGGTATATTATTAATCCTTGTTTGTGATTGCTTGTTCGACAGATGCTTTGTTTGCAATTATCTGATAGTATTTTAGGTATATGCTCGACTGTTATTTCGATAATGAATTCTTTGCGAAGTTTGTATTCTAGTGGAGATATCCGTTCGACCCCTGTGACGGTTCGACGCACTTCGAAATGTCTCGAATGCGCGGAGTGGAATCCGCGTGTCGGGCGTATGACCGCGATTGGGGTCCTACGCCCGTGGCGTGAACTACCCATTACGAGCTGGGTGTTCTGCTATGTGGGGTACTTTGACAGTGGAGCTCGATCGAGGTGTCCCTTCCAGGCATGTACGTTTGGTTCATCGAAGTGAACAAAAGTATGCCCTCGTTGGTTAGTAGGTCGGGTCCGTACCTCGACTCGTCTACATGGTCGAGATTTTTCCCTTTGTCGTCTAAAGGTGGATATTCGACGGCGAAAGTCCACAATTGGTGAGGGCTTTAGCTATAATATTGTTTCAGCTTCGCAGCATTCTAGGGTCGTGGTAACGGTTCTCTGTTTAATTGCTCGAGATAATATGCTATGGTGCCCGTAGCGCCCTGGACGCGATAAGGTCCCTCCCAGTTTGCGGCCAATTTTCCTTC